AACATCTCTACAGAAATAAATTACCCTATCTTCCTTCCTGTTTGAACTGCCAGCCTAAAAAGCACTTAGAGTTGTTTAATGAAATTTAGCTTCTTTTTTTTTTAACCTAATTGAACCTTGAGATTTTTCTCTAATGAGGTGCCTGTCTTCTTCAACATGTAAGAGTCTTACATGTCTATGGTAGACATCAGTTTTTCTCTTCCCTGCACTTAGAAACTCAGTAGAAAGGACGCAACTGGATTCACCGTAACATATCAAACTAATCTTGTTGGCATCGAGGCAATTCCTACCATTGTGACCCCACATGTTACAGAGTAGATCTCCTCCACAGAGTTTTTTTGGCTACAATCTTCTCATAAGCAGTTCACCAGGTCTTTATTCCAAGGTGCCACTGAGTGGCTTTAAACCACAACCTTTAGGTTAGTAAACCAGTGCAAACTATATGCACCACTCCGGGATCTGGATTTATTTTCATCCAACAAAATAAAGACTGATCATTTGGGTATTGCAAATATGATTCATCAGTGGCTTCAGAATTTCATTTCTTTTCTTATAGAAGGACCGGAGGTGCTCACTCTCAAAGCATCTCTGTGAGAGGCAAGAAACATGGAGAGCCCAGAGAAGTGTATTATAGTCTTGTCTATGCAACTACGATATCACATAACCTTGATTGAGTTAGTTCATATCTAAATATGAATATTGTTATTTTTGTTGAGGATGTTCAAGAAAAAAAAAATTTCCTCTCAACTTTAACATAAGAATCTTTCACACAGTATTTCATAGTCATTGAATTAAAAAAACAAAGTCTTACACAATTTGGTGAAATCAAAACAATATTTATTGTTATACTTGTGTGAGCTTTCATTGTGAAAATGAAAAACTCTTACATAAGAAAAATGCAGACTAGGATTTAACAAATGGCTATTTCTGGAGTTCTCTATGTGGATTGTCACAGGATTTTACTGAGATGCCTATTCTTTGTCTCTAAACAGGGAAGGAGATTAACTCAGTGATTCCCTCTTTTCCTTATTCTTTCTCTCCTCCACCCCTTTTCATCCCTTTGTTATCCCTTGAAATATAAAGTGGTCATTTGAAAACTGTGATGAGTCATAAATATAATTAAATAGTTACTATGAATTTAAAATCTAATGACTGGGCTGCTCACCCTGGCTTTCAAGCCCTCCCATTTGGGGCCAGAATCTTAGTTTTCACTTTTTCTCCCAGGACTTCTATCAATGCGTACTCCAGCTTAACCTGCCACTTGTTATTCCTCATTAATACACCCAGACTATCTCATTCCCTGAGTTTTTCACAGCAGAAAGTATCTAAACTTAAATTTTCCATTTCTATCAGTAGAGAGAATACTCTGTTCAAATGCCATTTCCTCAGAGAAGCCTATCTGGATTTCCCAAAATAACTGTCTTGCTAGCAGTCTTCCATAGTTCCAAATAAATATTTGCTTGTTGAGTCATGTAATCCCTGATTATATTCTCTTTTTATTTTTGATTTACCATCTTTGGTAAGTGATTTTGTAATATCTTGTAAGTTAAGTCAGGCAAATTGCTCTTGTTCTTGTGCACTTTGGTTGGTTTTGTGCAGTTTGGGTTAAGCTGGGAACAGAGTTGACCAGAGAACAGGCAGAGTTATTCCACTACCAAGATCAAACTTGTTGTGCTTCATGGTGTTCTTTCTCTAACACTTCACTACATCCCATCATGAAAACATCAGACTGCATCCAAACTGCGATAGAGGAAAACCACTGGCATATTCACAGATGGAAACTCCAGGGTGGATCAAACAAAGAGATCAGTGTTATATATCTATATCTATATCTATCTATCTATCTATCTATCTATCATCTATATGTATGTATACTTGAAAAATAATAGCAAGGGAGGAATAAAGAGGTTAGAGATCATGGAAAAAAGGTCAAAGGGAAAAATAAGTCACGGTAGCTGAGAGAAAGAGGGAGGATTGTGATGGGATGAAACAGGCAAAAACCCGTAGGGCAAACCAGGGTAAACAAAGAATTATGTTAGAGATTAATTAGTTTACCCAAGCATTTTTGATAAAGAGTTTTCTTCTCCTTCTTTAATGTCCCATGTTATCCTTTTATTGAACTCCAGAGTATGTATAGTTTATGTCCTAAGCAGTTGTGACAGTGGGTCCTGAACTCCCAACATTTGTATTGACTTATGCATCATCATACTTTTCTGAATTTGAATCTTTCAAATAGGGAGTAAAGGGGTAGAATACACTGTCAGGTTGTTCTCAGTGCCGGGGAGTACTTTGCCTCTTCTACTTTTATAATTAAAATTGTCCTCAGGGAAGGATGTACCAAAAAATGGCCAGTGAGCGCTGAGGGTCCCTGAAACATCAGAATCTTCCTATCACTGTAGGAAACATGTTGGTGGAACTTCAGGTTTATTAAGAGACAGAATTAAATCATGGCAATTGCCCTAAAAAATTGAACATTGCTAGAAAAGTATACAGAAGTAGTCCTGGACTGGGAGGCAAGAAAACGGAAATATTTCACTCAAACTTGAAAACTTACCTTTTTCTTATAAGCAAAGCAATGACCTTCAATAGAGAGCTCATAGTTTGCTCTTTTTCAGTTCTGATTTCCCTTGAAGATTAATCATGTACAGCACATTGCAACATGCAAGCTGTACTTGAGATAGGGTCCATTTTTGCTTTCTGTTGTAGGAGGTGTGAGGAGAGAATATGCCCCACAGATTGCCAACAGTTCCTAGAAAGAATGCATTCAATTCTACAAAAGTGTGTCTCTAACTCTGGTAAGAGGAAAAAAACTTAAAGTTCCTATTTCTGCTCTTAAAATTTTTAAGAATAAAAATATGTCTCCATTATTCTATGATAGATATTTTTCTAAAGCTAACTCTAGAAACCCCAAACATTCCCTACCAGAACACATAACTTAAACATGCCTTCTTCTTCCAAGAGATATTTATACACCTTTCATAAAAATACACAGTTGCCTAGAACTGCATTTCAGCCTCCAGAGGTCACAAACATTAAAAGGATTTGCTCAATGAGCTACTTAGCACAATTGATACATGAATATAGCAGACCAGGGTGCCAATTAATCCAAGACAAAGTTGTCAGCAGCCAGATTCTGTCCTCAGAGCCCTCCCCCAACCCTTATTTCTCCTAGGGTTCATAGCCCATTTCAATT